GGGGGGGGGGGGTTTTTTAGACATTAGTGAAGGTTTTAAAGGTGGGGTCTCATCCATCTAACATAGGGATGAATTTCGCAGATGAAAATTGGATTTTATCCCACTTTAGGGGAAGTGCATGCGTGCATTACTAGCTTAAGATTTGTCACAAGATATAATATAATAATAAAGCGTTTATTTAAAGTCTAAATACGTAAAATGTTCAGTAGACTTTTTAAAAAAAATTATAAAACATTATAAATAGAAATGATATACACTGTATATGTGTGTGTGTGTTTATTTTTATTTTTCAATGTACATTACACATTGATCTATTTGTTTGTTTGCTTGTCTATTTATTTAGTTTAAATAAGTAAAATATTTTTATAAATCAATCAATTTCAATTAGTGTTGTTTATATATTCATTTTTATTCTTTTTTTCGTGTTGTCAGCTAGCTCAGCCTATCCGCCTTATGTTGGCCTATGCCGGGGAGGAGGTGAAGGAGAAACGCTATCAGGTGGGACCAGGTAATAAACTTTTGAACAAGATTATTAGTAATGCTCCTTATTCAGAGGCCAGTTTAATAGGTTTAAGGAGAAGCATAAAAGGCGACAGAAAAGAGATTAATTGGGATATGGGTTAAAGGGTGGAACAGAAACGTGTCTTGGAAAGGAAGTTTGGGTGGCGAGAGAGGAAGAAAATAGGTGAAGAAATTTTTTGAGAAAACTGAAAGACGGCCAGCGTATAAGCGTGGGATTTATATGGCTTTCGCAGTCTCTGTATGCTCTAACCAAATCCATAATACTTCATATCTACTTAGAATATTTTAATACGTAAATATTCGAGGTTTGAAAATGCAGACCCACGTGCAGTTGCTACATGTAGAAAAGATGAACGCGTTTTGCCTTTTGCGTCCCGTTTTGTCATATATATATTCTTCACCTGTAATATACATGTGTATATTGTGTTGTTATCCCCCAAATGTAGCCCCCGTGTTCAACAAAGATGATTGGCTGACAGACAAGGCCAACTTGGGAGTTCCATTTCCAAATGTATGTATATATTCAGTGTACAGGGCCGTAGCCTCCGGGGGGGGGGGGGGGGCAGCTGCCCCC